ACTCCTCGGAAGGAAGGTTGGGCAATCCTACTTCCGTAGTGATACTGCCTCGGAAACCCAAGGAGGGGTCGCTATGAGTTGGGGCCGACTCGACGGCAAACAACAACAACAACAACATCATCCAGATATGAAGATTCAGTTGTAATTTTAGTTTTTTCTCAACAAAGGGAAATATTATGCCAAATTTTATAGTGGGATGCATTTTCATTAATATAAAAAAGTAATGCATAGATAGGAAGAATGGAGGATTCCTGTAAGTACAGAACTTAATATATAATGTAAATGAACATGGGAAAAATGCTTGATTAAATTTAGAGATTAGAAAAGCTAACTCTTCAATCATTCATACATTCAAAAGATTTAACCCTAGGAGGAAATTATGTGGGCACCATGCTCCTAAATGCTAAACTAGAATAAACAGATGGCCTAAAGAAAGATAGTGAACCATTTCCCTGCATTGCTTGAGGCAATGGCCTTGCCCATCAATCACACAGGCCCCAGTTCCATTTCTCTCCATGCCTATACCTGTCTCTTTCATGGACACATCTCCCAAGAGGGTTCCAAAGAGGCTCAGAGTATAGAAGAAAAATGTGCTTGTGCAGAGAGAAAATGAGAATTAAGACTATTCTTCTTCACCTTTTCTCTCCTTCTCTTATTAACCAATGAAACTAAATAGGCATTGTTAGAGTGGTATAGCTATTTTCAGAGTACCAGAAGGAAAAAGGAAAAAGAGTGAATCTATAAATATGTCACCTTTAAATGGTTAAGGAACATCACAATCTGATTTTTTTAAAAACATGAAGATTTATTGCAGTGACATCCTGCATGAGATTGTCAAAAATGAGACAATCTTATCTCAAGAAAATTGAAAATTGTACTCTCAAAAAGACATTCATTTTAAGTTCAATTGAAAACATGTTCTAAACTAAATCTAACAAGAATATTGATCTACTGTTTTATAATTTGCTTTTCTCTACCAAAAAGCATGCTTTATATAAACATACTCTACTACTTATGGCATTATAAATGTAAACACCCACCCCCACTTTTAAATTAAAAAGCAAATTAGAAGTGTTTTTACCTGATCTTCACTAAATAACATTCCCCGTTGGCTTCTGATTCTCTTCATGAGATCCCCCCCATCACAATACTCCATCACAATAAATAAACTGTTGTTTTCTGTAAGAAAAGATATTATTTGGCACTGAGAGGATTGCAGATATTTACTAATCATTTGCCTTTTGAGTTTTAGAAGATAGAGACTATAACTGTAAAATGCAGTACACAGTGGTAAAAACTTGTGGCTATGGAATTAAGATGGGCTGGGGTCTAACCCCACTTCACTAGTTACACTTCTCAGTTCTGTGACTTGGGCAAATTATTTTAATCTCCTTGTGCCTCATTACTTCATCTGTAAAATGGAGATAATAATATAGAAACTTCCTCTTAGGACTGTTGAGAAGATTAAATGAGTTAATTCATGCCAGATGCTTAGACCATGCCTGCACAAAATAAGTTCAGTAAACGTTAGCTGCTATTATTAATGCATTCCTTCAAGAGATTAAGGAACTCTGGTAGTGTAATGGTTAAGGCATTTGGCTGCTAACCAAAAGGTCAGTGGTTGGAACCCACCAGTCACTACGTGGAAGAAAGATGAGGCAGTCTGCTTCCATAGAAGTTTACAGCCTTAAAACCCCAATGGAGGTCACTACAAGTCGGAATCAACTCAATGGCAGTGAGTTGGATATTTTTTGTTTCAAGAGATTAAAAATCTTTAAAATAGCAGCCATAAGTCTTTATCAACACTCTAGGAAGAATTAACCAGAAGACTGGCGGTTCAAACCCACCAGCCACTCCTCAGAAGGATGGTTGGGCAATCTACTTTCATAGTGATACCGCCTCGGAAACCCAAGGAGGGGTCACCATGAGTTGGATACCACTCGACAGCAGTGGGGTTTTTTTGTTTTAGGAAGAATTAATAGTACCCTCTTCTTGAATTTGGGTATTGTGGTGAAATGAGTATCTTTATGTGGCCTTTTGCCTTGGTTCTTTGGAAAAACAACTTGAGAGATATTTTCACCACTAAACCCTGAGAAGTTACCTTTGCCCTAGTTTTCTACCCCAGAGGATTTGTTACTTTTGTCTAGGTTGACTGACATTTCCTGGGTAAACTGTAAATAATTTGGCTTGACACATTTTGTCTGGTTCTAGGCTACAGCCTGCATGTGCTTAGTATGTACCTTGCAGGGACTGATCAATAGATTATGCAAATAAAGTGACTATACACTATGCAAATGAGGTGTGTTGTCACCTACTATACATATGATATGTCTATATGTCTATGGCTTACCTAGAGGGGATTGGTCAGTTCATGGCCTTGGTGGGAGGGTCATGCCTTAAAATTGATTAAGAGTTTGTGTATTCATGCAGTACCCCACAGAGGTTTTTCAGACAGAAAGAAGCTAGAAAAAAAGCAGAAGGAAGAAAGAACAGAAAAACAGAAGAAACAGAGAGAGAGAAAGAGAAGGCAAGGAATCTCCTAAAAGAGCCATAACACATGTCGAGGGCTAAAATGCTGAATCAGGAGGCCCGGAAGGAGCCTAGCTGTAGAGCCAGGGCTAACAGACAGCAGGGCCAAGAGGAGCTGTCCTCAGGGGACTAAGAGAAGGCCTGCAAGTCAAGAGGAGCTAAGAGAGCCATCCTGCACTGAAAAAAAAAAAAGAGACTTTGCCTACATGCTTCCTGATTTAGATCCTGAATTGCAGTCTGTTGATCCTGATTCCAAGTTGTATCTGTTCCTTAATATACCACTTAATTGTAAGTATGGTCTGTGTGTTCCATGTGACCATTGCAATGGATTAGTGAACCCATCAGAGAAGTAGAGTGCTGTGGGAGGAATGGCTAGTGTCAGAATTGGTAGAAAGGTTGAAGAGTGGAGGTATGTCTGACCTCCACCTTGTAAGCATCAGCTTGATGCTGATGGTGAATCTCATTACCCTCCCCCCACCCCATGAAGTTAAACAGGTTCTAATGCTGCTCCTATAACTACCACTTCACAGGTATCAACTTTTATTTATATGACTCTCTTATTCAACCCATCTCCTCAGAAACCCAAGGGGTTGCTATGAGTGGAATCAACTCGATGGCAGTGAGTTTTGTTTTTTTTTTGGTTTTTCTAACTGACCTATGCCTAACCTCCTCACTAGATTAATGGACACTCTCCTTTACTGTTAATAATTGGCTGCTCAAGGTTACTGCTGGTGGCCACTAGAATATCCAGTAAGACCGACTATCTCTGCTTCTTATCAAGATCATTGTGATTGTTCCAACTGTACTCATTATTGTAAACAACCACTACATAATCTGATGGACTATAAATGGAAAAAGAAAGAATGTGATTATTTTTACAACTAAGTTAAACACTTTGGAGGACTCCATAAAAGTGAGTAGCTTAAAAAAAAAAAAAAAATGCTGTTGACCTGAACATTGAATGAAACAAGTGGCAAATAACTGGAAAAGCACTAAAATCATTGTGCATACAGGTTATTCTTAAATTTTTACTCCACTTTAAAGAAAGAAACTGTAAATTACAAATGAGAAGTATACTTTGCAGAAGAAATAAGACTTAGAACTCTAATAGGTGGACTCACAGTCAAGGCCTTGGCCTTGTATCAAAATTTTGGCAGATGATTATTAATTTCTTAAAATGTTTTCTGTGGAGCTTTTTGGTGTGTTGAGGTTTATTTTGTTTTGTATGATTTTCTGCTTTAACCAGCTTTTGCCATTAACCAACCAACTACCAGTCGGAATTTTGTTAGGAAAAAGGCTTCTACTAATTGTTTTTTCTCCCACTAGTTTGCTAATTGAAGAGAGATAACATTTTGTTCATCTTTATATTCCCTGGACCTAGCACAGCAACTGGCACATGGAAGGGTTTCAGTAAAGGTTTGTTTAGTGGACTTATAAAACATCCAAGAAACACTAAATACATTATCAGACTTGTAAGAAAGTGTTCATCTTTCTAGGACTTTTTCCCTTATATTTATTATACCCACAAAATGCTAGAATCTCTTGCCAAATCTTTTGCTACCTTTGGTGGTTATGCTTGTGTGTCAACTTGGCTAGGCCTGGTTGAGTGGCTGGGCAGCTGGATGTAGTATTCCCCATGGTGAGACTGGTAATCAACTCCATGGTGGAATCTACTATGAGCAGCTGAGTAGCTGCCTTTGGGTATGTGATCTGCTTCCTGTATATAAGGAGGAGTTTTGAGAATGGTCTCTAGCTTATGGCACGCTTGGACCCCTGCATGCAGCCCATGTCGTTGCTTGACAGCAAGCTATGCTCTGCCGACCTTGGGACTTACAATGGACTTAAGTTAATGGTCTGCTGTGTGGACTGGTAACATCGGGGCTGTGACTTTTTCCTTGTCAACCCTGAGACTTCTCAGCCTCAGCAGCCAGCGGCTGTCTGAGTGAAGAAATGCCTCTAGCTCCAGTGGGCCGGGAGCAGAAGGCAGAGCTGGACCCCAAGGTTGAGGGGCTTTCACCCAGCCCCTAGAGCCTGGCACTTTGAACATAGACTTAACAGCGTCCAAATTGTAAGAATAAACTCCTGTTTGTTAAGGCCATCCCATTTGTGGTATATTTCTGTCAGAACGGCACTAGGTAACAAGAACACTACCTTTTTCTTTACTTATAGCTCAGTCATTGAAAGGACTCCACAGCCATGAAGAAGTAGGAATTTCAAAATGGTAAGAGGATCAGAATAAGAAAACTAAGAAGAAAGTTTTGTTTCATTTCCTTTCCACCAACCTCTAGCTCACTTGGCCTTACATTGATTTCTTATGAAAGAAAATGTTTGGCTGATTCAGGCTTAATCGTGACTGAGCCAAAGCTCAATGAGCATTGTCTGGCTCTAATTATTCATTTTTCATCCATTATTTATTGTTAATTTCCAACAATTCTAATGAAGTTACTGTTAATTTCCAACAACTCTAATGAAGTTAGAACTGTGTGGAAACACCATTTATGCTCTCAAATTTTCCATCTGTTTGAAAACATTTAGTACTATAGGGAGAGGGAGGTATAAGAAACAATTTTTGTCCTCAAGGAACTTCCAATCTCACTAGAAGAAATAAAGAATATATACTAGCATTATAATACAGTATATAATAAATCCCACATGAGTGGTCCAATCATCAAGAGTTTGGGGGAGCTCATAGAAGAAGTGAAAGAGATCACTTAAGGTTTAAGCTATGAGGAGGGTATCTGTGTTTACTCTGAAAGGATGCATAATATTTGAAAATACATAAAGAAGGAAGGTAGTACTCCAAAAAGCAAGTGCAAGATACACTAAAGGACAGCAGTTTCTTCAACTCATGGGTCGTTGACCTTTAAAGAAGATTTTAGGGCACTAACATCAGGGCTGGGAGCTTTGGTATAGTGGCTAAGGCATTTGACTTCTAACCAGAAGGCGGGCAGTTCAAACCCACCAACCACTCCTCGGAAGGAAGACTGGGCAATCTACTTCTGTAGAGATACCGCCTGGAAAACCCAAGGAGGGGTCACTGTGAGTCGGAACCGACTGGATGGCAGTGAGTTTGTTTTTTTGGTTTTTTTTTTTGGTTTTTTTTAACATCAGGGCTCCTTTAAGGAGCTCTGGTGGCACAGCGCCTAAGGCATTTGACTGCTAAACAGAAGGTTGGCAGTTCAAATTCACCAGCCCCTCCGTGAAAGGAAGATGAAGCAATCTACTTCCATAAAGACTTCCCACCTTGGAAACCCAACCCGGGTTGCTATGAGTCTGAATTGACTCAATGCAGTGGGTTTGGTTTTTAGGTTTAACATTAGGGCTGCAATCTTTTTATTTGCCAAATTCCAAACATTTAAAAAACAGTGAGTCTAACAAGGAGGAAGTGGGAAGAGTGTTGTTACATTGTGGGGATTACAATGAATGTCACAAAACAAAATATGTGTGAAATGTTGAATGGAAGACTAATTTGCTCTGTAAACCTTCACCCAAATCACACACACACACACACACACACACAACAATTACTCTAATTAGTAATTCATTCTAAAATGTACTTTGAAAAATCTGGATTGTGTTTTACATATATTGGCATCTTCAATCAATTGTCGTAGGCAACTGTTAATATTTTCCTTTTTATATATATAAGA